CATAGAGCTTAGATTTTAGATTTTAGAGCTTAGATTTGGTTTATAAATTTTATTGTTAATCTAGAGTGAAGCCCAAAGGTTTAGAATAATCCACATTAATACATATCTAGATATTGCTTATCAGCTATTGTGTGGAGTATGATAATTTTTATGTGCATATTAAGGTGTTTCTTGAAGGCATAATTATTATAGAGGCATGACTGGCCCTGTGACTATTTGGGGATCATTCCAATGTGGCATATGATGATTGGTGGATGCCAAGTAGTCTGTCATTTTACAAACATTCCTCCTGTACTGATGCAGTTATGACAGAGGCTGTATCAGGCAGTATTGTCTTCATTCTTGATGTGTTTTTAATGCTTCAAAACAAATCATTAATAACATTTTCTGGTCTAAAAAGTATATTCACTTATGCATATTATGTATTATTTACTAATCAGACACTACAGATGTATTTAGTAATTATATTGTTCTCCTTAAAGACCCTAAAATAATATGAAAATGTAACTGAGCTAGGATTATCTGGGATTGCTTTTGAGTTTTGATGGAGTGTGGGCAGTAGCTATTGGGTTAGATATAGCTCAAAGAAGATATCATCTGTTAATTAATGACAGTGGGTGTGAGAATGTACCAGGAGATATTACAAAATTTAACACAAACCTAGAAAATGCACTTTGTGACAAAATTATTATGCATTTGTAATAATAGAGTCAAATTAGATTTAATAAAAATAAAAAAAATAAATTTTTGTCAACAATATAGTTGGGTAATTTTAATCAAAGTCATTATTATGTATAACAGCTACATTTGGTGATGTAGCACTTTTGCACTCAAAAAAAAATCAAACAGTACACTTTGGCATAGACATCGTAATAGATCTATATTCTTGCATGTAAACATAGACTTTGAAATCTTTTAAATAGGCCTCTAACCTCCTTATGACAGGTTTATAGTGTTGATTAATATATGATATGGCGGCTGTATGTGGACTTGTTTTTGTTGTCATTTGTTTTATTTTCAATATTGCATGCCTTCAGAGATAAAAAGTAAGTGTGGTAGCTTTTGACATAATTTTTATGCTTCAATATCAATATCAGTTGTGAAAATCACTAAATCTAGCCCAAACTTAAATTATATCATAATACTGGGCTCAGCAATGTTGTATACCTGTATCTTCTTCTATTCTCATTTGTCAACTAGCCAATCAATGCAAGCAATATTTTGTAATCCAATTCCGTTTCTTTCAAGTTAAAATATATATGCTTTAGATACGTGAATGGATGGTTTCTTTGGGATACAGTCTTTGCTTTGACATAAACATGAATGGTATTATAATAATCCAAAACAAATAGAAAAGTAGTTATTATTATTATAATCTTTGACACATTCAATCAAAAACCATTTATAGGGAATCAAGGATTGGGTTTTTTATAATTGTATCTGTTGTGGTTGCCATTGATTTTGTCATTATTTTGATTGGTTCTGCTACTCCTCAATCAAAACTTGCTAGTAGTTTTAAAGAAGTTGATGAAGAGCACTTACAGCTAACAAGTGTAAGCATGAAGGGAATTTTGGGCAATGCTAAGGGTAACTCAACCCAATTTCAGGCAATTATGAATAAATTTATTGCTGATACACGCTGTGTCAAAGTCAGAATTTTCAATGAGTCAAAAAATTGCTGCAATCATTTACATAAATAGTACAATACTAGTTCTGTTGACAGTGACCAAGTTTACTCTTGCTAATCATCATAATACCTTTGCTGCACTCTTTGGATTAGGATTGCTTACTGATGCATCACTGCTCCTCTTTATTCCTAAAGCAAGCCAGTTCTACAGATCCTGAAGTAAATTTTATATTGTAGACTCTAGATGATTTGATTATATCGAGATCCTCAAGGGAGAAGATATTTTCAGATGCAGACAATATACATGTAGTACTGGTCCTTCACATGCAATAAATTGGAAATACAAACAGGTCAAGTGCATCATTTATAATTAATAATTTTTAGCTAGGCTATAGTATATTTTTTAGACAAATGGCATAAAAGTTCTTTCATTGGATCTAATAGAATTCTAGAATTAATTTTTTAAAAAATAGATTTGCTCAAAATAGTGTTGTTTTATAACAAGCATACATGCCCAAGAGTTATCATGCCTGACCAGGACTGTTGCTCAAATTTACTGGATCAGGCCTGATGTCAGAACTGGTACAGCCCTGATGCTGAATCAGGAAAGTTGGTCTGACCTGATCCAGTATCATTGTATCAGGACTGAATGCCCAAAATCCACAATTCATAAAAATCAAAACAAATAAATCAAACAATTAAATAATCAGAGTACTAAAATAGATCAAAATAATCGAATGAATCACAACAAAATTTATGATAGTACAGAGAGAGAGGGAAAGAGAGGGAGTAAATTAATAGAGAAAAGAGAGATTGGTTGATTATCAAGCATTTATTTAAGTGTAAATCGGGCTGGGACTTTGGTATGACAGTGCAGAAATGGACAAATCACATGCATGATAAGTACAGTAATCATCAGAGACAAAGTGATCAAGAAAGTGAGACCAGAGAATTTCTCTAATTTTCATTTGATTGTTGAAAAAGACTGTGACAGATCAATTGGAGGGAGAGCATTCCGAAGTCTGGCAATTCTATTGAAGTAAGTGTTGAGAAGCATATTAGAGGGTGCATAGTGAAAGAATGATTTAGCTTTGGAGTTGGAACGAGTGTTAAGAGAGGAGAATTTAATATAACTGGTAATATCAAAACTTGCATCTGGGTATTTTAGGGAATGTATCAATAGCACCAGGTCAATGTATTCATGGAAGTACATAGAGGCATTAGATCTTGGTGGTGTAGAGTAGGAGGAAGCCTTATAGATTAGCTCCACCCAACAAAACTTGTTCAATCAAAGATGTGCAAGTTGCTGTTTTATTTCTGGTTTATAGCGCCGTTTATCTCCACCATAGAATCAGCTACAAAATCGACACTCCAGTTTGGATACATTACAACTATCACCGGTTCGTTTCTAGCTAGTGGAGGCAGACCAGCAGTTGATCTGGCACTGCAAATCATAAATGAGAGAGATGATATTTTACAAAACTACACACTAGCATATACTGATATACTGGACTCGGGGGTAACATATTTTCAATTACAATAGTAATTATTTGTTATTTTTTTTAATTTCAGTGCAATCATACTGAAGCTCTTGACAATTTCTTTGAGTTAATGAATCGTGATGCTACATACATCTCACTCTTGGGTTGTGGGTGTTCTACAGCTACGATACCAGTAGCTGAAATTAGCCTCTACTGGAATATACCACAGGTTTAACAGTTCATTTGATTGTCATGTATGTGCATGTACCACAATCCTGTACATGATTAGTGGTGCAAAGGTGGTTTTACACTACAAAATTATATTAAGACAGGAAGTGCTGTATAAACCAATGGCCACCATTTACATAATGTTAGAATAGAAATTATCTCTATTCTTACATTATGTAAATGGCAGCTATATAGAAATTAAATTTTGAAGTGTAAACCCACCTTAAGAACGATCACAATGAGTTATTATACATTTGGTAGTACTTGCATGTAATGTTTGCATACAATATGTCGCCATTGTACTAATGATTCTTTATGTATAGTTAGCTTATGCAGCAGCTGCTAATGTTTTAAATGACCGAACCAGATTTAGGAACTTCTTTAGCACTCTTGTCTCATTTCGTTATGTTGGTGAATCATTGGGACAATTAATGAGAGAGTTTGGATGGAGACAAATGTCAATCATTGCACAAGATGACCACCTTTTGTTCAGTAGAGTAAGGTTAAATAATACAAAAGATTAAATATTTTATGGTTTACAGGTGACTGATGAGCTAGCCAGTGTTATTTTTAAAAATGAAGGGTGGATATTAGACAGATATGATGTCTTATCAGGACATAATCCTCTTCTTTTCTTTGACAGAGTTATAGTTATACCATTTTGTATTCATTAGTATTGATTTAACTTTTTTAGAGTGAGGCCCAGAAATTTAGAATTATTCACATTAATGCATATCCTGATATTGCTTATCCAGTGTTGTGTGAGGTATGATTGATTAAGATAATTTCTTTATGTGTACCTGTACCTGCAGGCATATTATAGAGGAATGTTTGGTTCTAAGTATCTATGGATACTCCCATCATGGTATAATGCTGGCTGGTGGAGGTCTAATAGTCCTTCATCTTCTAATAATGATTCATGTACTGATGAAATTATGATGCAAGTTATAGATGGGAGTTTAGGCTTAGTTCCTGATGGATATTTGACACTTCAAAACAAATCAATCATACA